TTTGCATATCCGGCATCCCCTTAAGTATGAAATGTTTCTTTCTTGTTCTTACAATACTTACAAATGTCTATATTTTATATAATATATTTTATAAACATAACACATAAATATATGAATTATTTTTTTTTCTAATTTTAAGTGCCTTTACCTTTTTTATAATATATTTTATTTTCATGCACACTAATAATTACTTTTTTTTTGAGTGACAATTATTCCATAATTTTTTCCTTAATTATAGACTCTGTATTAAAGAACTTCTGAAACATTTCTTTTATAAGTCTAATTTCGGAACATTATAAATTTTTAGATATATATTTTAGATATATGCTAATGGACGATTTCTCCTAAAAAACAATAAAAAATGAATATTCGAAATAAACTATTATCTAATTCAATGGTTTTGGCATTCAATTCAAACATTTCAATAAATTTCTGTGATTTTTTCAAAATTTTCTGAGCACATTAATGTTATTTAATAAAGCGCGAATATAATAAATGACCATGAATTCGGTTTACGTTCATGGAAAACAACGGTCCGTTTTGGGGGTTAAACAACTGACTACAAAATGTACAAATATCAAATAACACAGGTCGGAAATTCCAACTTGGGTTGATATTAAATTAACTTCTCTCTCTCTCTCTCTCTCTCTCTACATACATATACATATATACTATGTTCAAATATGTCGGTGGCAAATTTAAGTTGAGCAGAAACGTACATCTTGAGCTCGAAAAGAACATCTTACAAAGCGCTAAAAATAGAACATTCATGTCAAACGATCTCTCTCACACTTCTGTGGAGACGTATTTATATATGCATATATATATACGTATATACCTACATATGTATGCGTACGTACGTACGTATGTATGCGTATAAGTTTGAAGATGGGAAACTGTCTCTAGAGACAAGTTAGCCGATAGCGTCAATAAAGTCTCCTTCGACATGCCAATGAGTACAAAATGTGTCTATTCTCTCATCGTCTCGAGTTTCGCGCGCAATATCGTTTACACGACACACAGCACAGGACGACAAATCATCCCGGCCCTTCGATCGCTGTCTTCAGGCGCGGTATATTAAGCGTTAGTATACGCTCCCACGAAACGGAATCCCTGAATAACCGCGAGTGATATTAAGGGAGGGGA